GACCAACTCTCTGAGGCTTGTTTGCGGCTTATTTTCCACGGTTTTCAATATTTTAGAGCAATCCCGGCGAGAAAGCTTTTTTGGTCTGCCGGTAGAGGTCTGCAATTCCAGCCTATTTTCTTTTTCCGCACGTTTAATAATATTATAGACTGTTCTCAACTTAATATTGAACATCTTGGCCAGCTCTTTAGCTGTCTTTCCTTTGCCATAATTAAAATAAACCAATTGTATCAGATTATCTTCAGTTCGTTTACCGGGCATTGCTAAAACTTCAAGTAACACAAGTAACTGAACTGAATTCAAGAAAATTTGTAAACGAATGACTGCAAAGAAGACTTAAGAAAAGCACGCGTCTGGCCGTTTTTGATTTTGATGTCCCGTTTGTTTTTCCTTCGTCTTCTTTCAATCAGTGTTTACATATTGCAAAGAATTAATAGACAGAGTCATACATGCCGCTTTTTTGTTTTTTTTAAATTTCTTTACCGTTTGTCTTGGAATTTTGCCCTTTTTTTTCGTCATACCTACAGCTTAAACACATTTTGATAACAGTTAATAAAAAAAATTCCCCCAACTTATGCCTTTACTCATATTTTCAATGTTGAAGTCCAACTTATGTGCCTTTTTAGATTTTGCAAACAATTAATAGACATACTGTACATTGTGCAATATTCTGTAAATACATTCCGGGCAACGCGAAGTGTTGTGCCGTGCACAAGTTTTTCTCTGAAATACACATACTACATAACCAAAGTGCCGAAAGTGAAAAAACGTGGGGTAGGCTTCAGCCGCTGCTGACCCCTCCCCCTCCCACATATACACACTTGCCTTTGCGCTAATAAAGCTGCAAAAGAACAAACAATGGTACGTAAACCGTGCCCCAAATCCAAAAAGAAGACCACTCTGGCCTCAAGTGCTCCCTGCTCAGACAACGAAATCGATCTGCATTCCCCCCCGCTACTAATGTCGGGAATTTCGCAGAGTGATTTACGCCCCCTTTCCTGTCGCTCGACCTCATTGGCAGATTTGACCAGTGATATGCCATCAACTTCAGCTGCCGCTGCAGCCAAGTTGATGCAGGCCCCGTCCGCTGCACTGTCAAGCAAGCCATTGCTAGCCCCCCCCTCTGCCATGCTAACCAGAGCCTCTGCTGCTACTGCCTGTGCTGCCATTCATGCTGCTGCCAAAGCCACCGCCCCTACTCGCGTAGCTGCCGCCGCAGCTAAACGCCCTCCAGCTGCTACAGTTCCTACTACTGCTAGTGCTGCTGGTGTAGCTGCCCACGCCGCTCAACGTCCTCCAGTTTCTACTGGTGCTGCTCGTGCTGCTGCTTCGACTGCTACCTGTGCCCCTGGCAGTTCTGCCATTACTGTCTCCACCAATCCTACTGCCCTTGCAGCACCTGTGCTGAGCCAGCCGACTCTGTACGAGATCCTCAAGGAACAGCAGGAGAAATTGGCAAGGGAGAGGAAAGTAATGGCTAAGCTGAATGCGGAGTCTGAGGCCCGTAACAAGAAGCGGACGACCACCTTGGGCTCGCCGATTACAAAGGCGTCGGCCAAGAAGATCAAACGGACAGTATCCTCCAAGGAGAAGCCTGACTCTAACCAGATGAATATAACGAACTACTACAATATACTCTCGGATGCTGACGACTTAGCAAACGACGATATGGATGTTGACACTGACTGCAGCGAGGGAGAGACGGAAGCCGAAGAACCTGTTCCCACAAACAGGCCCTCTACTTCTCACACCACCCCCCGCCTGCCCCTACCACTGCGCACGCACCCAATGCTGCTGCTACTGCTGACGCCAGAATTGTGCGGCCAGCCCCTATATACATTCCTAATGTTTCTGATATCTTTCCCCTGCTCCAATGCTTTGACAATGCCATTGGCGCAGGCACATATGACACTAAGCCTGCTGCTAATAGGTCTCTCAAAGTCATGTGCCATACAATAGATGGCCATAGGGCCCTAATTCGCTCTTATCTGAGGGGGAAGGTGTGGATCACCATACATTACGCCTGCGAAGCGAAAGGGGTATGCGTATCGTCATACGTCACCTGCACCGCTCCACACCCACAGACTGGGTGCGCGAGCAGCTCGGTAGGCTTGGATACAAGGTGAGGCATATTGCCAATATACTTAAAAGATTCACAAAGGAGCCGTTGGACCTATTCGAGGTCCAGCTTGAGCCTCAGGACAATAATAATAGTATTTATGAGCTAACGGCAATTTGCAGCCAACGGATCAAGGTTGAGAAGCCCATACGCGCGCCAGGCGTTCCCCAGTGCCACAAGTGCCAGATGTTTGGGCACTCCAAGAACTACTGCAGCCGTGCAGTTATATGCCTGAAGTGTGGGGAGAAGCATGACCCCAAGGACTGCCCCAAGAAGCGGGAGGATGTGCCGAAATGCGCCAATTGTAATGGTCCCCATGTTGCCAGCTACCGTGGTTGTATCAAATACAAAGAGTACTGCAACAGAAGGAATAACGGATGAGAAAAGACCAACAGGATGTTGAGTAAACTTTCGATGCCTACCTTACCCTCCGCTCAGGGTTTGCGGCTTCCCCGCCAGCCACCCGTCATGAACCAGCAGGGCTTTCCAGCACTGCAGCAGCCGGGCCGCCGGCGAGCGCGCTCAGGTGCAAGAGCTCCTGCTCCTCCAGCTCAGATGAGCAGTTATGCTGACACCCTTCGCACAAGGCAGCCAGCGAGTCATTCCCAGCCTCTTCCAGGGAGGCAAGTATGGCAGTCGGTGCCACCCACAGCGACCACAATTGGATTCCAGCGCACGGTGAGCAATCAGAGCGTCCGTCCTAGCGATGAACTCAGCCAGAAACTGGACTACCTCATCACATTGCTGACACAGGAGCGGATCCAGCATGCGGCCGCTGCTGCTGAATCTACTCAGAAACTGGAAGGGAAAATGGATGTATTAATTGCACAAATGACGAAGCTGACAGTTTGTCTATACGCTGGCATTCAGGCGAGTTCTCATGCCGGGAATGTATAGTGCTGGTACAGCCAAGCCAACGAAAGCGCACACAGATAGAAGCAAACAAGCAAAAGCTCTGCCGGCCCCTCCAGTGGAGACTCCACACGCCACGCCACGCGCTCCGCACCGCCCCAGGGGGCACCTGCAACTGAAACTCGACCACCCAAGCCGCCACCAATAGTGCTAACCAAAATCACCAACATTACCGCCACTCTTAAAGAAATCTCGCAGCTAATCCCAGCAGAAAAGTTCCACACCAAGACAACTTCGGCAGGTGGACTTCGCGTCATGTGCAGTGACGTGCAATCTTTCTGGGTACTGCAAAGACATTACAGGGATGAGGCCTGTACCACGCCATCCTATTCCTACCAGCTACAGTCTGAGAGGGGATACCGAATTGTCATTAGGGACCTGCACCACACCACCGAAAGCGAATTCGTCACTGAACTTCTGGCCAGCCACGGCCACACAGCCACTTTCATTCGGGGCATGACGAGGCGAGCTACCAATGAGCCCCTCAACATGTTCGTAGCTCAACTTGAACCAAAGCCAAACAACGCTGAGGCGTTGAATATTACTAACATGGGCGGCCAACGAGTCAAAGTCGAGGTGCAGAGGAACACCGGCCCAGTTGTCCAGTGCCACAGGTGTCAACGCATTGGGCACACCCACAATTACTGCCGAAATGACTTCGTGTGTGTTAAGTGCGCGGGGCAGCAATCCTCAATTGTTTGCCAAAAACCCTTGCAACAGCCGGCAAACTGTAGCGGCCCTCACCCAGCCAGCTACAGGGGCTGTACCGCTTTTAAAAATGCAGCGCTGCGTAAGAAGCCGAGCGAACTTGCCCAAGCTAACAAACTACTACATGACCTGGGCATGCCTGCCCTTCCAATGACTAGAAACCGAAGCCAAAGCCGACGTCGTCGTCAGCCAAGCAAACCACGCACTCAGCAGATGAACGCCCATAGCTCCCGTACACGAGAAGAAGCACCCTGCACTTCAAAGCAGGCCTTGAGTTACGCTGCAATTGCCAGAGCGAGCCTCCCAGCGCAGCAGAAACAGCAACAACAGCGCAGGTCGATGTCGAAGAGGAAGCTGACACCAAGTACACGCTTGCAGGAGCAGCTCATAAAGCACCTCAGCCGAAATCGCTCCAAGAGCGCAGGCCGTTTTAAGAGCACAAATCGACCGCAAGGCAGCAACAACAACAACAACAACAATAATGCCGACCTCAGTAGCCTAAATGAGAAGCTAGACAAGCTTATTACTCTCCTACAAGTGCAGACGGATCGAAGGAACGAGACCACTAATAACAAGACACAACCCCAACCGAGCCTTGAAGCTAGGCTCTCCATGATCGAGAAGACACTGTACCGACTTATGGCACGACTCCCACCACCCACAAACGTCAATGAGACCTCAAATGCATAGTAATTCCCCTTTAATCAAAATCGCTTTCTGGAATGCTGCTGGGCTTCCAAACAAACTCCCTGAACTTAACGCTTATTTGGCAGGCAACAGTATTGACATCCTACTGATATCGGAATCGCATCTAAAAGAAGACACAAACCTAGTGATTGACGGCTACCACGTCTACATGGCAAACCACCCGTCGAACCGGAGCAGAGGCGGAGCGGCGGTAATCATCAAGTGCAACATCCCGCACATTTCCCTCGCACCAACAAGAGAGGACTCCATCCAAATGTGCACCACAGCTGTAACAATAAAAAACCATCAAACAATAAACATTGGTGCGATCTATTGTCCACCTGCACACGAATGGACTGATACACAATTTAAACAGGTATTCGACTCTCTGGGTAGCAGATTTATCGTAGCTGGGGATTGGAATGCCAAAAGTCAGTGGTGGGGCAATGCAAGATCCTGTAGAAGAGGGGCTGCACTTCTGAAATGCATCCAGGAAAACGACCAAAGCATACTGGCCACTGGATCCCCCACCCATTTCCCTTCAAATCGACGACATATGCCGTCTGCTATAGACTTTGCGGTTTATAAGGGTATTAGACACAATTTAATTCACATCGAAACATCATATGATTTAGGTTCAGATCACAACATGCAAATCATTAGACTCCTCCTGAGACCTGAATATGGAAAAAAGAAGATACTATTACCAAAAAATTCAAATATCAGAAGATTTCAAGCTCACCTTGAACAGCGAATCCATCTGGAGACTGAACTTCACAACGGCGACGACAGACGATGCAGTGGCTATCCTTGAAAAGAACATCTACATTGCAGCTGAATTGGCCTCGCAAGCCTCAAGTAACCAGCACACAGTGTACGGACCGCAAAACCTTCATCTTGACTCGCAAACGCTGAAAGCGATCAAGATCAAAAGAATACTCTGCAAAATCAACCAAAGAGATAGGTGCTCCAACCCCCTCATTGCACGCACTATCAATCAGCTGACTAACAGAATACGTAAACGGATCAAGCTGCAAAAAGACAAACAAATGAACAGACTGTTACACGACATCGACCCAACTGATAGGTACAGTATGCAGAAACTATGGCGGCTCACCAATACAATCAAGAGACAGTCCATTCCAAATCTGCCAGTCAGGAGGCACGTGGCGGAAGGGCAGCAAGCTCCTGCTGATCCTTGGTGCAAAACTACGGAGGAAAAAGCTGAGGCCTTTGCGCAGCACCTGGAAGCACGTTTCACGCCAAAGATCACGGCAGCCCTAGAAGACAGAGAAGAAATTAACGCAGTATTACAAGAAAACGGTCCAGATGTAGCTGCTCAAATAATCAGACCTGTAACCATCCAGGAACTCAAATCGGAAATTAAGAAGCTCAAGACGAAAAAGGCACCCGGTTTCGACAGCATCGACAATCGCGTCATTAAATCTCTGCCAACATCCGCCATCGAGTATCTGCTGTTGATATGCAACTCGGCTCTGCAGTTCGGCCACTTCCCAAAGTTCTGGAAATGCGCAAAAATTTCAATGTTAAGGAAGCCAGGAAAGCCGAGTGATAGGCTTGAGTCCTACAGACCCATCAGCCTGCTTACAGGCTTCTCCAAAATCCTCGAACGCCTCATCCTCAAGCGACTCTTTGAAGAAGAAAGCTTTGCCATGGCTATTCCAAACCATCAATTTGGCTTCAGAACTCAGCACTCAGCGGAACAGCAAATCGGACGAGTCACGCAATTTATCCTCAGATCCTACGAAGCGCAGCGACATTGCAGTGCCGTGTACATGGATATCCAGGAAGCTTTTGATAGAGTCTGGCACCAGGGTCTTCTCTGCAAAGTTAAAACGATAATACCTGACAATTTATACATCCTACTCACCAGCTACCTCTCAGACAGAAGCTTCAAAGTCGTCTGCTGTAACAACATCACCTCAAGCCTAAAGCACATAACCGCTGGAGTGCCGCAAGGAAGCGTACTTGGCCCAGTGCTCTACAATCTTTACACTGCCGACATGCCGCAGCCACCAAGACACGCAAACGCAACCCAAATGCTAGCAACGTACGCTGATGACGCAGTATACCTCGTATCTGCCCTGAGTCCAAAACAAGCCAACGAAAATATGGAGCGGCTCCTGGCTGATGCATTATCATGGTCTAAGAAATGGGGAATAACCATCAGTCTTGCAAAAACTGCTCATGTTCTACACACTCTCTCACCTGCGCAGCAACACACTCCAGCTCCAAGGTTAGCCGGGCAACTCCTGGCCAAAAAATCCGTCATGCCATACCTGGGAATACAAATGGATATGAGCAACAACGCACTGCATGCGGATCTCCAAGTAGCAACTGTGGAAGAAGTTTTTAACAGACTCTGCAGGAACTACTACACTCGGCTAATGCAGCACACAAACTTACTTGCCTGTGAGATCGCAACGCATCCATACATTCCAAGAAGGCTGGCCAGGCCAAGGTATGCCGCAATGATTGAAGAGCACAATCCAAACAGCAACAGAAGCCTGACAGCCATCCAAACAATACTGCTCCAAGTCAGACGCGAGAACTGGCTGCGCAATCCATTTGCAACACACAACATGGAAATCAGCCGTAGTAGCGCAAATGCAGCTGCTACGCAGGCAAATGACGGCCCCAGCAGAGAACCTGATGATGAACGGCGGCAGCTCCAGAATCCAGATGATGGCGGCGGCTGAAAAGAAACTAAAACCCCTTTTATTCTTCCACAGATACGAATCCACTCACCATCACAGAAAATCGTAATCCACATCCAGAATGACGATGCACTGGACCTCGGCCAGCTTCAGCCCTGTTGATGCTGTCCTGCAGTCCCAGTTTAGCGCCGACACTCGCAAGGATTCCACTTCGCAGCTGACGACGAGACCAATAGGCGTAATGATGTTCTTCACGGCTGCATACTCCACCTGAAAACAAATTAAAAACAATTAAAATAATGTAAACAAAGTAGCAATAAGTTTAGTGTTACCCTGGCATTTAGCCAAACTATCGATACCTACCAAAAATACCAAATAAGCCAATACCGTAACAAATGTTACCCTGCCAATTTACAGCCACTTCTGCAACTACATGTAATGTAGATAAGCAGCCGGCGCGAAACTATTTGTAAAATATGCTAATTTTAAGAGTATAATCAAATAAAACGGTTCTCTCTTCATGTCAGCCTCCCTCCCCCCCTGCTAATGCAGGTGGCGATGGGATTGGTTCGACATGAAGAGAGACTGCCAATTTAGTTCGCAAGACGAACACAACAGAAAAAATCAAAACGTTCCGCAATTATTTAAAATTAAACCATCAAAATCGCCAAAAAATCCCTAATAATATTGAACATGTGTAAGTAAACACTGTGCAATATTCTGTTAAAACATTTCGGGGCAACGCGAAGTGTTGTGCCGTGCACAAGTTTTTCTCTGAAATACACATACTACATAACCAAAGTGCCGAAAGTGAAAAAACGTGGGGTAGGCTTCAGCCGCTGCTGACCCCTCCCCCTCCCACATATACACACTTGCCTTTGCGCTAATAAAGCTGCAAAAGAACAAACAATGGTACGTAAACCGTGCCCCAAATCCAAAAAGAAGACCACTCTGGCCTCAAGTGCTCCCTGCTCAGACAACGAAATCGATCTGCATTCCCCCCCGCTACTAATGTCGGGAATTTCGCAGAGTGATTTACGCCCCCTTTCCTGTCGCTCGACCTCATTGGCAGATTTGACCAGTGATATGCCATCAACTTCAGCTGCCGCTGCAGCCAAGTTGATGCAGGCCCCGTCCGCTGCACTGTCAAGCAAGCCATTGCTAGCCCCCCCCTCTGCCATGCTAACCAGAGCCTCTGCTGCTACTGCCTGTGCTGCCATTCCTGCTGCTGCCAAAGCCACCGCCCCTACTCGCGTAGCTGCCGCCGCAGCTAAACGCCCTCCAGCTGCTTCAGTTCCTACTAATGCTAGTGCTGCTGGTGTAGCTGCCCACGCCGCTCAACGTCCTCCAGTTTCTACTGGTGCTGCTGCTTCGACTGCTACCTGTGCCCCTGGCAGTTCTGCCATTACTGTCTCCACCAATCCTACTGCCCTTGCAGCACCTGTGCTGAGCCAGCCGACTCTGTACGAGATCCTCAAGGAACAGCAGGAGAAATTGGCAAGGGAGAGGAAAGTAATGGCTAAGCTGAAGGCGGAGTCTGAGGCCCGTAACAAGAAGCGGACGACCACCTTGGGCTCGCCGATTACAAAGGCGTCGGCCAAGAAGATCAAACGGACAGTATCCTCCAAGGAGAAGCCTGACTCTAACCAGATGAATATAACGAACTACTACAATATACTCTCGGATGCTGACGACTTAGCAAACGACGATATGGATGTTGACACTGACTGCAGCGAGGGAGAGACGGAAGCCGAAGAACCTGTTCCCACAAACAGGCCCTCTACATCTCACACCACCCCCCGCCTGCCCCTACCACTGCGCACGCACCCAATGCTGCTGCTACTGCTGACGCCAGAATTGTGCGGCCAGCCCCTATATACATTCCTAATGTTTCTGATATCTTTCCCCTGCTCCAATGCTTTGACAATGCCATTGGCGCAGGCACATATGACACTAAGCCTGCTGCTAATAGGTCTCTCAAAGTCATGTGCCATACAATAGATGGCCATGGGGCCCTAATTCGCTCTTATCTGAGGGGGAAGGTGTGGATCACCATACATTTCGCCTGCGAAGCAAAAGGGGTATGCGTATCGTCATACGTCACCTGCACCGCTCCACACCCACAGACTGGGTGCGCGAACAGCTCGGTAGACTTGGATACAAGGTGAGGCATATTGCCAATATACTTAAAAGATTCACAAAGGAGCCGTTGGACCTATTCGAGGTCCAGCTTGAGCCTCAGGACAATAATAATAGTATTTATGAGCTAACGGGAATTTGCAGCCAACGGATCAAGGTTGAGAAGCCCATACGCGCGCCAGGCGTTCCCCAGTGCCACAAGTGCCAGATGTTTGGGCACTCCAAGAACTACTGCAGCCGTGCAGTTATATGCCTGAAGTGTGGGGAGAAGCATGACCCCAAGGACTGCCCCAAGAAGCGGGAGGATGTGCCGAAATGCGCCAATTGTAATGGTCCCCATGTTGCCAGCTACCGTGGTTGTATCAAATACAAAGAGTACTGCAACAGAAGGAATAACGGATGAGAAAAGACCAACAGGATGTTGAGTAAACTTTCGATGCCTACCTTACCCTCCGCTCAGGGTTTGCGGCTTCCCCGCCAGCCACCCGTCATGAACCAGCAGGGCTTTCCAGCACTGCAGCAGCCGGGCCGCCGGCGAGCGCGCTCAGGCGCAAGAGCTCCTGCTCCTCCAGCTCAGATGAGCAGTTATGCTGAGGCCCTTCGCACAAGGCAGCCAGCGAGTCATTCCCAGCCTCTTCCAGGGAGGCAAGTATGGCAGTCGGTGCCACCCACAGCGACCACAATTGGATTCCAGCGCACGGTGAGCAATCAGAGCGTCCGTCCTAGCGATGAACTCAGCCAGAAACTGGACTACCTCATCACATTGCTGACACAGGAGCGGATCCAGCATGCGGCCGCTGCTGCTGAATCTACTCAGAAACTGGAAGGGAAAATGGATGTATTAATTGCACAAATGACGAAGCTAACGGATTGTTTATATGCAAGCATTCAGGCGAATTCTTATGCCAGGAATGTATAATAATAATTTACTGCCCATTTACTACCATTTACTGCCCCCCATTGCAGGAGTGGTCCGAGGACGACTTCTTGGCATTGTTTGGTCAGCTGGGAACGAGATTCGTTGCTGCTGGCGATTGGAATGCGAAGAACTCATGGGGGGGAAACGCAAGGGTTTGTAGAAGAGGCGGACAGCTGCTCAGGGCCGTTCAGAAAAGTAGCTGCAACATTCTGGCCACTGGATATCCTACTCACTACCCGTACAATACTCGGCATACACCATCGGCAATTGACTTCGCGGTCTACAAGGGCGTGAGGGACGAAGTACTGCATATATCCCATCTAAATGACCTCTCTTCTGATCATCTCCCAATGGTGATTGAGCTGAGCATGTCTCCAGCGGAGGCGGTGACTAAGAGACGCCTCTTGCCCCCAGGGGCTAGCATTTCGAGGTTCCAATCATGGCTTGACTCGCACATCCATCTGAACACTGAGCTCAGGTCAGCAGAGGATGTTGATGATGCAGCCAATATCCTTGAGAGGAACGTGTTAGCGGCAGCCGAACATGCCACAAGCAGTCTGAGGAGGCCCGTCCGATCTAGAGTCTAGGCTGAGTACCACCATTGATGATGATGATTGCCACCAAGAGGCGCCTGAGGAACCTGCTGAAACGGAAACATGACCCGGCAGCGCGACAGCTGTACAACATGCTTGCCAATAGGATTCACAAGGAGCTAGAAGCGGGCAAAGCCAGACGCGCTGACGCCATTATTGGCCATTGACCCTACCGATCGCTACAGCATGCAGAAGCTATGGAGGCTGACTAATGGTTTGAAGCGGCAGCCAGCAGCCAATTTGCCTGTG